ACACACACACACACACACACACACACACACACACACACTACCCAGCAGCTGAAACTGTTCCTGACTCCACGGAGCAGCAGTAGATCCACACACTGCTCCAGGACACAGGAATCCAGAAGCAGCTCCTCTCAGCTCCAGACAGACAGCTGGTGAACAGAACCAGGTCAAAGGTCCTAAAGCTTCTGCTTGTTGGCATTTAAAAGGATCTTTGCTCAGTTTACCTGACAAAAGGTGAGTTTTCATACATTTATTCACATTATTAATCTGTTGAATCAGGAGGCCTGAAACATCAAGGAGACAACTTTAATCCTGACATTTTTATAATCAGACAATAAAGTAAATATTTCATTTGTAAACTGGGTTTATTTTAATCGTTTTAATTTGTAATTACTTTGTTTGGACTCAACAATGCAGGGATTTTATATGTTTGAATATGTAAAGTTCTGTTAAAATCTGCAGATGGAGTAGACCTTATATTTGTTTAAATAGATGATTTTTTAGATATAAATGATAAAAATAATGGTGTAAAATCAGTTTAACCTTTAGCAGCTGGTGATGAAATACGCCAGAGTTTTTCATTAAAGTTCTAAAACCTGCAACTTGTAAAAAAAAACCTTGCAGATCATTTTTAAACTGTTCAGGAAAGATGCATCTGAATCCAAGCCAAACAGAAAAACTTTGATTTTGGTTTTTCATTGGGGTCTGCAGGTACATTGGTCCCACAGTGGCAGGGGGTGAGGTCAGAAGTCCAAGACAGAGCCATGCTGTCTCTGAGCTGTGCCCAGCCCTGGCCCGAAGGTTCTGTGGTTCTGGAAGAGGAGCAGGTGGTGATGGCTGCAGCCCAGGCTGAGCAGCAGGAAGCAGGAACCTGCAGCACCAACATCAGTCTGGATGACAGCCTGACCAGCCTGCAGTGGCTGCAGGACTTCTCCATCCTCGGTCCRGCCCAGGTTCCACAGCAGAACCATCAGCAGTTCTTCTGTCAGCAGCTGGGCCCCGACGCCCCTGCCTCCCCCATGGCTGGGGACCCTGCCTCCATTGGGATGCCCTTGACCCCTGGCAAGCCCACAGCGGCGGCCTACAGCAGGCTGCAGACCCTGTCAGGCATTGTGGCGCGTGGGCACTGTCCAGATGAAGTGGACTACAAGAGCAACGCTCACATCAAGCCGCCATATTCCTACGCCACCCTCATCTGCATGGCCATGCAGGTAACTGTTGCTTTACTTTATTTCACTTTACTTTACTTTACTTTACTTTACTTTACTTTACTTTACT